ACTACTACATAATAAGCTATGTAACACATAAATATACATTATATATAGTACATCATCTATGTTCTATCATGTTTCACATAACTTATCAATAAACATAAATCTATATAAATCTACAAATGTGTGTACCCACACACACATATATGCATATGTTTTGTACTTGCATATCGCCCTGCTAAACACAAACTACTTTTTGATTTGTTCTTTTACCTAAAATCATTCCACAAAAGACCCTCAAATCTATTTAATTTGTAGCCTACAACTTATGATGAGTACATAAAATGTTATACTGTACACAGGCATACATCATATAAACACTACATCAACTAGGTTATATTATATACAATGTTTTATGTAACTTGTCAGATAAATATTGTGTATACACGCATAAACACATTAATAAATACAAATACGCATGTGTTTTATATATGCATGTTACTCTGCCAAACACGAACTGCTTTCGGGCCCGTTCTTTACCTAAATTCATTCCACAAAAGGTCTTCAAACCTTTTTAATTTGTAGCCTACAAGCGGGATTAGCCTGAAAACTCCCGTGGGAGACGTCCACGTGGAACTGAGCTCGGACAGACAGCTAAAGGCCAGAAGCAGGCAAGGAGCCAACATCCTCCACTCGCCAAGAAGTGATGCCCCCCCTCCCCCGCCAACGCCCGCCTGGGAGGTCTCGGGGAGGCGCCCACGCTGGGTGGGGGGCTCCGGACCGGGCACCCAGCCCAGTGGGACCCCCCCCCCGGGTCCTGACCACCGCTCCCTCAGGCCACCCTTCCTCGGCGTCCGCCCCAGGCTATCCGGCCGACCCCACCCCACCCCTCCCATCCTATCTGAGTTCCAGCCGGAGCCCCACCCGAGACCCAGCCGCCACTCCGCGCGCGAACCCCGCCCTGCCCCGCGGCAGCCTCACCTCCAGGTCCACCCAGACCATCCTCTGCGCCATGCTCTCCCCCGCCGCCATGGCCGCTCCGTCTCGGAGGCCCCGCGCCCCGAGCCGCCCCCCGCTCCCAGCCAGATTTCGCAACAGCCCGAAGCTCAGGAAGCCACTTCGCATCAGCCGGCACTCAGCCACCACGGCCTCAGCCACTGCCACCTCCTGCCGGCCGGCGCAGCCGTCGCGAAACGTCGCAAAAGGGTGAGGAAGACGGCTGCGAGGCGAGGGAGGAAAAAACCACAAGACCCGGGATGCACTGCGCCCGACTTGCGGCAGAACCCGCGGGCTGGTTCTGAGGAGATGCTGGAACTTGTAGTCTCGCGAGGGCGGCGACGTCTCCCCTCCAGCCACGTGTTTTCCTGAGGGAGTTGGACGTGGGTATTTCTCCTAGCCAATTTATTGGCCTTGAAGTAGGCCTACTGTCCAATGTCTGACCAGATCCTAGTATCCAAAAAGATGTCAAAATAACTTGTTAGAGATCTGCTCTGCACTCAGGACATCAAAGAGAACCATTTTTTGCGTATATGAAAGTTTTCAGGTCTGACCAGCCCTTTTTTCCCCCTCCAAATATACCACTGGTTTAGAGGATTATTTCCAAATATAAATTGGGGAGGGAGGGTTGTTTTGTTTCTAATGAGAAGAGGAAGTAGTATAGGGGGTTTTGTCTTTTGACCTTTGGTCAGTATTCCTTGGATTAATTAATAATAACTTCATTTATGAGCCTTGTTGGAATTTACAAAGTCTTTTCTTCAAAACATCTTGTATTGGTATTACAAGTATTGTTACCATTTTGCAGGTAAGGAAAATGAGTGACAAAGAAGTCAAGTAATTGTCCCAATGTCACACAGTTATTAAGTGTCTCAACTGGGTTACTTTAAAATCTAGCAGCTGTTCTTTTATAGCCCAGTTGCCTTGGATTACAGCAGCTCAGGGGTTTCCTGGGTCCATTTGTTACTTCCCCAGATATGAAAAGAATTCAAGAAGAGGACATCCTCATATAGTATTATCTCAAAGCTCTTCGTTATCCTGCAAGCCCTTGTACATAAATGCCTGTTACATTCCTGGGGATACAAATGTAAAATGAACAACAGTCCCTAAATTCAGGCAGTATATCCTACTTGGAGGATACAGTATTTAAACTGATAATTAAGTTGCACTCAGAACTAAGTAGAAGTCAAGTAGGAACTGGCACTTGAGACGCCAGTTAAGAATGAATTAGTTTAGCAGTTCCTGTTTAACTAGGATAAGATGCTAAAAAAAAAAAAGAAAAAGGATTCTAAAGAGAGCTGAAAGTGACCATAAAAATCCTCTAGACCAGCCCCCTGATTTTACCCATAAGGAAACTTAAAAGTCTAGAGAGGTTCCTACACTTTTTCCACCTTGTTAATGGTCTTCCTAAAATGTGGAATCTAGAACCCAACACAATATTCCAGATGGTCTTTGTTTAAGGCAGAATACAGCCAAGCCATCAACTCACTTATTGTAGACTTTTAATGCAGCCTGCGATCTCACTGGAGTTATTTTTTGTTTGCCATATAACACTATTGACTCATGCTGAGTTGGCAGTGCCCTAAAAACCCTAAGATTGTTTCAGACAAACTTTTATCTAGGCACCCCACCCTCATCTTATACATGTAAAGTTGACTTTTTAACCAAATTGTAAGACTCTATATTTATTTCTATTAAATTTCATCTTATTATATTTGATCAAACACTCTAAACTATCAAAATCTTTGTGGATCCTGATTCTCAAGCCATCCATTCCGTTACCCAAATCACTTTCAAAAATGATAATGCAGGGCCAGAACAGACACACTAGAAAACTCCCTCTAAGATGAAATCAGGTGAACCTTTGATAGAAATATTGACCATTGCTCTCACACACTAAAATGGAAATATTGTCTCCCTGTCTACTGGCTCCTTCCCTACAGCCTACAAACGTTCCCATGTTTCCCCCATCTTCAAAAAAAAACCCTCATTTGATCTTTCCATCCTATTATCCTATATCTCTTCTGTCCTCTGTGGTTAAACTCCTTGAAAAGACTGTCTATGATTGGTGTCTTCACTTTCTCTCCTCTCACTCTCCTAACCCCTTACAATCTAGCTTCTGACCTTATCATTCCACTGAAACTGCTCTTAATTAAGTTACCACATGTAATGACCTTTTCTCAGTCCTTATTCTCCTCAGCCTCTCTGCAGCCTTTGACACTATTGATCCTCCTTTCCTCTTTGATACTCTCTTTTCTCTAGGCTTTTGGAACACCACTCTGTCCTGGTTCTCCTACATCTTTGCTAGATCTTCAGCTGGGTCATAACTTCTAACTATAGGTGTCCCACAGGATTCTGTCCTGAATCCTCTTGGATCTTCATTTTTCCAAGTTATGAAAGTCTGTCAATTTCACTTTTGCAACATCTCTGAAAGACACATCCTTCTCTCCTCTGTCATTGCCACCACTCTGCTCATCATTTCATGCCCGGATTATTGTATCAGCATGCTAGTGGTTGGCCTGCCTCAAGTCTCTCCCCACTACATCATCCACTGAGCTGCCAGTGATTTTTCCTAAAGTGCAGGTCCAACCCCACTACTCAATAAACTCTAGTAACTCCCCTTTGCCCCCAGAATCAAATTCAAAATACTCTAGTTTTCAAAGCCCTTCATAACCTATCCCCCTCCTAATTTTCCAGTCTTCTCATACCTTACTTCCAGACACACACTCTTCTGTCCAGTGACATTGGCCTCCTTTCTGTTCCATGGACAAGATACTTCATCTCCAACTCCAGTCATACTCTCTGATTGTCCCCCATACCTGAAATGATCTCCCTTCTCATCTTCACCTACTGGCTTCTTTCAAATCCCAACTAAAATCCCTTCTAAGGGGAGCCTTTCCTTACCCCTCTTATTTCTAGTGCCTTCCCTCTGTTGATTATTTCCTATTTATCCTGTACATAGCTTGTTTCTACATATTTGTTTACTCATTGTCACCTCCATCAGATTATGAGCTCCTTTAGGGCAGGGACTGTCTTTTGCCTCTTTCTGTATCTCTAGCACTTAATTACCTGGCACAGAGTAGGAGCTTAATAAATGACCTACACTTAAATCAACAAGCATTTATTAAGCACCTGCTAAGTACCAGGCAGTTTAATAGGCATTGGGGATACAAAGACAGAAGTAAAAAAGACCTTGACCTCAAGGAGCTTTTAAGTAATAAATTGACAAGCGTTTATTAAGCATTTCCTAGGTGCCAGGTACTGTGCTGAACCGTAGGGATTCCAAGAAAATGGGAAATTGATCCTGCCTTTAAGGAACTTAAATTCTAATGAAGGAGACAACATAGTTACACACATATTACATATGTTATACATATATGCATATGTTATATATATTTATATTCACATATATGTGATACAAAGTAGATTCAAAATAACTTTAGTGGGGAAGACACCAGTGGCTGTATGCACCAGATAATACCTCCTGCTGAACAAAGTGAACTTTGAAATGAACCTTAAGGAAGGTAACTGTAATGTGGATTTCTGGCCTATGAGGGCCATTCCTTAGAACATGTGAAGACGTCCCCTGCCTGGGTCAAGTCTGCCTCATATAAGCTTGGGGACAACCTACCTCTGTATATTCAGAGGATTGAAATGCCAAGTGACATGATAGCAGAGCAGCAGCAGTATCCAGGGCAGTACCACTGGTGTCTGTGGGAACTTGGAACAGCAGAGAAAGTTTCTACATTGGAGAATTTAGCCAATCTACCTTCTAGGTGGACCATCAGGGAAAAGATCAACCTTGGCTATTTCAGGGGTAGGGAACCTGTGGCCTTCTGGGTCCTCAAGTGTGGCCTTTTGATTGAGTCCAAGTTTTACAGAATAAATTCTTTTATTAAGGGGATTTGTTCTGTGAAGTTTGGATTCAAAGGGCCATACTTGAGGACCTAGAGGACCACATGGGGCCTCAAGGCCACAGGCTCCCCATCCCTGGATTAGATAGTGTCCTGTTCCAAGGTAAAATGTGAAATACATAGTAAGCAGCATTATACAATTGGTATATGTTTTAGTTGGGCTCGAAAATATTAGCCTCCCAACTGATTGTAGCTGTATGTGGTCACACAAGAGTTGGAAAACTTTTTCTGTAAAGGACCAGAAAGTAAATATTTCATGCTTTGCAGGTACAGAGGCATTTGAGGATATTATGGAGGTACTTATATAATGAAAACAAATTTCCACAAAATTTTAATTGACAAAATTTTAAATATAATCATAATTAGTACAATTTCTTAATAATACAGATCTACTAATGAGATGAATGAATTCTTTTGGGGGGATAACATTTTACTTAGTTGGGGTTCAAAGTTAGTGTTCCTTTTCAGCAAAGTCAACAGCAAATGTTCATCTCTTCATACTGATCTATAAAGAGATTTTACATCTTTCATCTGTGAAAATGTGTTTTCACCCAAATAGGTACTGCCAAATACAGTTATCACAAGTACAGGGTTTTAAGTGAACTGAAAAGCTAATAATCTTAAACTATTTTTCTCTGGACATATTTATTTGGCTGCTACAATCAAACTTCACTTAGTTAACTCATCACCACCAATGGCTTTCCTCTCTTGGTCAACAAATGAGACACTTGGAAACTTAAGTTACAGCCTCATTTTTATTTTTTATTTTTGTCCAGAAATTCTGGAGTGATGATATTCCATTTTAAATTTTATGATTTTTCTGACTGTTGCTGTCCTGTGAATTGGGCATATTGTGATGAGTGCTTAGTGTAGTGATGTAGATGAAACTTGTATTCTTTTAGCATAGCTGGAGTGTCCTTGCATAATAAACACAATGCTTTGCCATCTAATTTGGTAACAAAATAATCTTCATTATGCCTTAAAAGTGCAACATTCAAAGTCTATTTTTCTCTTCTTGTTTTGACGCAATAGGTGTGCTGTAGTAATTTTAAAATATATACATACTATAGCAATACACATGGCACCAGCAACCCAGGTGGCATGCACTTGAAAGGCTGTCACATTATAACTTTATCACTGCAGTTTGTAGTGTGCCAAGTAGCAGGGTGAACTGATGAGAGATCCACATAAGGTCTATGTCACAACTTTTCAACTCTGCTGTTGTGGTGTGAA